CTTTATATGAGTGCCGCCATTAGAAAACCTGACTTCCGTTTTTTTGCATAAAAACGTATCAGACGTAGCCCTTGAAATCCGTGCGATACGTAATTCAAGGTACGTGCGTAAAAATTTTTCTAGTTGTTTCGGAGATACTATTTTTAATAAAAACGTCACTATATATCTCTTTTTTTAATCTCATTTATGCGTCATTTTCAGGGGCTATGTCCGATACGTTTTTATGCAAAAAAACGGAAGTCAGGTTTTCTAATGGCAGCACTCATATTCAGTTTCTGTTACTATGTTTTTCTGTATACTATATACAACATATATCTCATATTTGTTACTTTCTATCCTTTGTATACCATCGCGACATATATTGTATGAGCCACTTCTACCACTTATGCTATATCGACTACAAGTGGTAGGTTATAGCTGATATAGTAGATATGGTCGATATAGTCAAAATGGCAGATTCAGCAGAATCACCCAAACCACCTTGGCGTCGATCTGCACTTCTACAACGTACGTTGTGGAAGTATAATCTAGCTCTTATATCAAGAAATGGAACAATAAGCAACTCTATACTATATACTAAAGTAATAACTAATAAGACCTAAATTCCCGAATTGGTAAGCTTCGATCGAGGCGTGGTTAGATTTGGTCCGAGTGTGGGGACTTAGGGTCTTGCGGGTGTATTACGAGGACTTTGATAAGTATTTCTTTTTGCTTTAAGTGGGTCTTTCGGGTACTTTATATGAGGGTTCAACACTAATGTCTTGTCTATTTTCTCTATTTTCCAGTATACTGCTTATTTTTCAGATCATGGGATCACGTGATTTTATTTCAGCATCCAAAAATGCTGAAATCGACGTAATCGAATTACGTATGTATTAAGTAATGGATTGATCACTGATAGAATCAACAACGTTTATTATATAAGGGGGTCAATTACTAATACGATCTTTCTCTTTTATTTTCAACGAAATAACGATTACGGGCCTAAAACGAGTCTCGGGGTCAAGAGAAATATAATAATCAAACGAAATAACGAACTTCGAATAACGAAATGTATCGGCAAGGGAAAAACTTAGAGAACCAACTTCTACTATTTACTTTTCGAAGCTTTGGAACTCAACTGAGTTATCTTTATTGGAGGTACGATTTTGGTCTTTATATACATTTTCTGTTACTATATTTTTCTGTGTACTATATACGGCATATATCTCATATTCGTTACTTTCTATCCTATGTATATTATCCGCGACATATATCATATGAGCTATTTCTACCACTTATGCCATATCGACCACAAGTGATAGGTTATATCGGATATGGTAGATATGGTCGATATAGTCGAAACGGCAGATTCAGTAGAATCAACCCAAGCCACCTTGGCGTCGATCTGCACTTCTACAACGTACATAGTATAAAATAAAGATAAATAGTGCAATCTTTTAACTCGCTTGTTGAGAAACTAAATAAAATTATGAACTATAGCAGCTTGAGAAGTTTCTTGACAAAAACCGAGTAAAAGGATAAAGTGAAGAGAATGAAACATTCTTTAAATATTATAAACTTGCGCGAAATTCAAAAGCGTATAATGGTTTTGGACATTTATTAAATCCTATAAACGGTGCATTCAAATAATATTTCAAATCTTCAAGGTTCCAGTGAATAATAAAATAAAAATTAAATTCTGCAAATATGAGTGACACTAAAGATATGGGTCATACTTTTGGAACATCTTGCGCTGTGTTGTTATAGAAACAGAATTGGGATAGAAAAGGATGAATAGTTGATGATCACAACAGATTCATATGTTAGAAAGATGAAGAATCACTTGTAGATTTTAATAAACCATTAAAGATTGAACCAATAATGCAAGGGCATTAAGAAGTCGTGGTATATGTTAGAAAAATATAACGAATTACTTGAAGATTGGTAGTGCTTGAATTAATTAACAGAAGTATTAAGTCGTGGAGATATTTATTATATGTTAGAAAATATAAAGAATCGTTTACAGATTTGAATAGATAGTTAGAAATGGTACCAAATAATGTATTAGTACTAAGATATCGCGATGCAACCTATCGTATGATTAAACGATATTAAGAATCAATCATTCGCAGATTTGAATAAAATCAAGCAAAAATTTTATAAGAGCATTAAGAAGTCGTGAAGAAACTTATCTTATTTTAGAAAGTTATGAAAATTCACTTGCAAACTTAAATAAATCGTCGGGGATTGAACAGTAGATTAATATAACCTTTTTTATCTGCTCAAATATAATAAAGGGATTTCTAGTATGAATCATATATTAGGTTGGTTATCGTTACCAATAGGGAAAAGGACAACCGCAAGGCATCGAATATCATACGAATCTGAGTATATGGTAATGCTAAAGATATAGACCCTGATCTTAGAGCATCTGTCATTAGTGGTTGTTATATAAATGGAATTGGGTTAGAAAAAAATGAATATAAGGCGTTTGAATATCACATGAAGTCCACAGAGATAGATAATGCTGAAGGAGCGCTTATGATTGAGGCTTGCTATCAAAATGAAATCGAAGTGAAAAAGATGATCATAAAGCATTTTAATATTATAATAAAATCGCAGAGGTGTGTGTTACAAAAGGAACTTTTTAATGTTGGTGCCTGTTATGAAAATAGAATTGGAGTTGAAAAAACGAATATAAAGAAATGATTAACACTTCTGTGGATGAAAAGAAGCGTAGAATTGTATAGGACACAAGAGAATGCCTAGAATCATAGAATTATTTAATACACAAAGAAATTTTTAGAATTATAAAATGGTATAATTCGAATACTATTAAAACACTGCTGTTATGGGTAATACTAGAGAAATGCTCAATGTTAGTGCTTGTTATTATAAGGGATGTAGTGTCAAAAAGGATGAATATAAGGTGTTCAAATATTACAAGGGGCGTTGCTGAAGAAATGTTTTATGTTGGTGCTTATTACGTATCAAGATAAAATTGGAGTTAAAAAAAGATAAATATAAGGCATCCTAATATTATCAGAAATCTGCTGATATGTCTAATAATAGAGAAATATATAACGATAAGGAATATGTAAGATTGGTGCTCGCTATAAAACTGAATCGGCGTTGAGAAGAACAAATATATTGCATTCATATATTATCAAAAATCAGCAAAGATAGGAGATTCTCATGAAATACTTGGTGTCAGTTGCCGTTATCAATGTGAGAAAAACTGCTTATTTGAGTGATGCAGATGAAACATATAATGCCGTTATTGTCACCGAATAGATTCAGCATTAAAAAATAAATCTTCGAAGATATGCTGATATAGGTCATGCTAGAGGAATACGTGAAGTTGGGCTTTGTTAATAGAGGAATCAGGATTAAAAAGGATGAACATAAACTAACCGAATATTATAAAAAATTTGTCGATATGGGTGATGCTGATGTAATACAGTTTGTAAGACTGTGTAATAAAGAAACAGACAAAGAAAAAAAAATAGTATGAAGTTGCATAAAATTGTATAAGACAAAGGAAGGGTCTAAAATCGTAAAATTGTATAAACACAAAAGAAGTGTTTAAGTTTATCGTTATAAAATTATTGAGACACTTTATCTTGATAAGTTAGAAAAGTAGTCAATTATTCTGCAACCTGTTGAGTATTAGAACTAATTTGAGTTGCAGTTAGATGTGCACTCATTCAATATGCTTTTCAAAAGAAGAATCAGAACAAAATACAAAGGAATGTCTAGGATCATAGAATAGGCTTTAAGCATAATACTTTTTGGAAGTTTTACATCATTGTGCAGCATTGAAGCAAATAAATTATGGTTATCGTGGGTTTGTCTTTGTATTATACTGCATAATTTATGCACCAACCCCATAAAACAACTAAAGATATGTTTAGAGGTCATCTTCAGGTGACATATTAACCTCTATTTGCATCAATAATGTTAGTATTTGTAAAAAGAATTAAAGTACCAGTAGCAGCAATTATCGTTAATAGTGTTTCTTGAATATAACACTAAAATGCATATACATATAATAACGATAATGATTGATTCACACTTACTAACGCTAATGCTAATTATTGAAAATTGGAATTTTGATTAATCGTTCAAAGTTTTCTTGAATATGCCTCTTAACTTTATATTAGCGTTAGTATTGATTGTTACAATTACTCAATCTAGCGCTAGCGCTAGTGCTAGATATTGAACATTAATATTAAATAACATATCGATATCGATGTGAAAAACACTATAAACTAATTTTTATATATCGATATCGATATCAATACCGATACAATCAAATCTAACACTAATTCTACAAATATCTGTCACCACCATAATAATAAACTCTCACGATTCGATTATTTTAACGTGACGTTATATTAATGAAAGCTGAATGTGTTATTATTGAAACCAGCCATATTATTTGTTTGGCAAAGTTAATACAGATTAGATACAAAACCTGAATTCTAAGTTTGTTATTTTGTAAGCTGGAAATTTCAACTGCTTCCTTTCCTTATTAATGTGTTGGATGACCGTTAATTTAAAATTTTACGCATCATGACGATGAATCCTAACGCTAAACAAAAATTCTGCGATTTTAAATTTGGAATTTTTGCTTGGGTACTCAATATTTAGCGTTAGGTTGATATTCTTCTCAATGTGTTTCAATGCATCAAAAGTAATCAAAAGAGTTAAAATTCTGCAGAACATGCACATATGTGTAGCCTCCCCATATATGAACAAAGGTTAACAAGTTTACTCACACCAATATTTTTAGCGTTAGTACAATCTTTAATCTTTAATCGTTCGTTATTATTATATCAATATTTACTATTACTGTTACATGTTTTAAAGGATTTTTTATTATAAATATTGATATATATAAGGATAATATCATTTTAACTTTCATTACTTACCATTACACATTTTAACGCTTTAAATCTAATTTCTATATCAATATCATTATTATTTTTTGTTACGTTATTTCTAGAGTTACAATAATGATAAACATTTTACCAAACCCTTTAACAAATAAGGATCCAAACTTAAAAAATGCGTTTCTTCTTAATGAATTTAACAATAGTAATAGCGAATTTGAATATAGAAGTGCGGATGATGATGATATTCTTGATGATGAAACCACAAGTTATGCATCTGGAAATCTTGATAGAAACAATAACGATAATAATATTGATACATTTGTTTTGGATAAGCTGAGCTTCGAAAATGCTAGACTTTTTGCTGAAAATGATGAAATTTCTTGTGATAATTTTTGGGAAGAGGATGATGATGAACTAGAGAAAGATTCGGCATTTTCAACAGAATTAGAATCAGCTTCGAATTTAACACATGATGAAAGTATAGTATTAGAAGATTCAAACCTTATAGCTAATAATACTGTACAATCATTATCACCTTGTGTTATTCTGGATTATATAAATGGTCAATTCCAACAGTGTTGTGATGTAACTTTAAATCAACGACCTCTGAAACAACTTATCGGCACATGGGAAATTGATAGAAAAGCTTTTGAAAAAGCAAAAAATGATAATCAACTTCATAACTTGGGGGTGTGTTCATCTCACTTCTCTTATGATGCAGCCAAGCTTCATACACCAAAGGTTAAACAGGAACGATCTATTGAAAAAGTCAAGTTTATATTAGGCGTTGTCTTTTCTGCAATAAATTTAAAACTTTTTTTAGTCGTGGTAAAAATTGTGTACAACACTCAGTATGCATAGTTGGCAAAAATATCCAGGTACCATGTTCCGGTCTTAAAGTATGTCCAGTTTTTGAAATAAAAAATATTCAAGATACAATTCTTAGCAAGTCGAATAATGAAAATCGGACACGATACATATGTTCTCAATGTTTTAATAACAATGGTGGTCATTTTTATGAGCGACCAGAGAAGGGTTACAGTTTTTCTTGTGAAGAACAACATATAAATGACAATACCGCTGCACTTCAAATTTTCGGAAATTGGATTTTACAAATCGCTGCTACTGATAATGAAGACAAAAAAAAAGAATTATTAGCCTGGTTATCAACAATACTTACCGGCGTCAACATGAAACTACTAACATATTTATAACTGTGTTAACAAGAAACTATTTCTTACATATATAAAACTGTGGTAGCAAGAAACTACTTCTAACATATCTAAAACTGTGTCAACAAAATACTACTTCTAACTTATCTAAAACTGCATCAACAAAACTACATCTAACATATTTACAACTGTGTCAGTATGAAAATACTTCCAATATATCTGCTAACATATCCATATCTACAGTAAAACTACGTCAACAAGTAACTACTTCTAACATGTCAAAACTGCATCACAATTTCTGATTATTATATTATAAAGTAAATATTTTTATCTTATTTTTAAATTAATAAACAATAAAAAATTAAATTTATAATAAATGTTTGTAACTCCCATATGCATTGCAAATACCTAGTTATTAAATATAAAATAAATTTAAAGCCAAATAATATTACTATATTTATAATATAACACCCTTAGAATATATCAAGTGCCTTGTTTACTGTAAAAATAATTTTAAATTAAATATGCAGTTCACCAAGCACGCTATTTTCAAAAAAATGGCCCAAGTTATTGAAGCATAATGCTAATTTTAAACTTTTGAGATTGCATCTTACGATAATAAAATATACATATGTATATATGTCGGTGAATTTCCAATTATAATTAAATAATTGATTAAAATTTTAAAAAAATCAACAGAAATGTGAGTTAGAGTGATTTCAATAATGCTATTCTTTTTGGTTGTGGTTGGCAATTCCTGACAAAAAATGATATAAGATTAAAGAATGTAACTTGAAATTTTGGTCTTCAACTTTAATTATGAAAATCATATTCAGCTTCGAGTAACAGTTGAAAGTTTTAAATTGAGTTGTATACAGTATTGGTATTTTAAGTTGTATTTTCACGGATGTTAATCTATTTAATTAATTTTAACACCATTATGATATCAGTTTTTTGTTATTTGTTTTCTGAATATTTTCCAATTTATTTGACCCGTTATATTTTGATTCACAAAAAAGGAACTTTCTCATTAAACAATTTTTGATTTATTTTTTTCGAGCTCGTGTTGTATTTATAAAGTTTTTGAGACTTTACATTACCAGAGTTTGATAATAGCATATATGGATGATGCAAAGAGAAAACTTTGAAATCTTACCTAATATTTAAACCCGTATGGCAAAAACACGGAAAATTTTAAAGTATTGATTGAAATCCACAGATTTGTATATCGTACAATATTTTTTTATATGTTTAATATTAGTAACATAATAGCTTACTGATTACTATATTTACCCAGCACTTCGTTGTATGTAAGCAATGCCAAACATTTCATCTACAATCTCGGTAATTTTGATATGTATATGCGAACATCAACCTATATAAATGTGGTTATGAAGCTTCTTTATTACTATGGCAAAATTTCAATATGAAAAATTTCTTGGTGGCTCCGTTAATGCAAATATGAAAATGGACAAGAATTTCGTGATAGACAGTGTCAAAATATTAGTATAAAATAAAATTTCCGGACTTTTCTTTCATGTCATCTACCAATATGTTTTTCCGTATTAATTTACTGTATTGTGTTTCCATTTCAGATATAATTACTACTTTAGAAATTGATGGTCTGATAGTAAGAAACGAAGCAAGAAACAAAGCAAAATTTATTAAGATCTATGCATCAAATGTCATTACAACTAGTTAAGTCTACATGTCTTTTATTGACTTTGATAATTTTTTATTTAACTACATTCTTTACTGAAAATAAAATTATGGGGAATTTACATATAGGGGCCCGAAAAGTGAAAATAATTACAAATAAGGGCCCAAATTGAAAATAATTACATATAA